AACCACTGAGCTAAATCCCTGGCCTGTGTTTTATTTTTTGAGACAGAATCTCATTAAGTCACTCTGTGCTTGAACTTTTTTTTTTTTTTTTTTTTGGAGACAGGGTCTCTGCTATGTATTTCAGGCTAGCCTTGAACTCACTATGCAGCCCAGGCTGGCCTGGAACTCTTGGCGATCCTCTTGAGTGTTGGGATTACAGGTGTGCGCCACAATGCCCAGCTGTGCTTGAACTTTTTTGATTCTCCTGTCTCAGTCTCCCAGACTGCTAGGATCACAGGCTTGCACTGTGATACCTAGCTGAAACTTTTTAGGAAGAGAGTTACCTGAGCATTCTCAGCCTAAGCTTCAAATAATCAGAATATAATGAGACTGAATGATGAAAATTACAATGAGTAGGGCAATTCTTTCTGGTAATCCCAAAGGCACTACAAAGGCAGAGATATCACAATACAGGCAGCTCTGGGTATGCAGCCAGGAGATAAATAAAAGGAAGAAATTCACTATAAACCCTACAGCCACTACTCTTCTGAGAACCCAAAATCAACTTTGTCAAAGTGTGAGGCATATTGTGGGCCAAATTCATTACCAGACTCTTAGGTTTTCTGACCCCAGCCCACCCAACCACAGGTTCCCTACACTGCCCACTTGGAACTAGTCACACACCTCCAGATAAATTAGTTTTCCCCAGGTAAAAAAAAAGGTTTGCTTTACCATTTCACCTCCCTGCCAGGATGGGCATCCAGTTTCCAAAAAAATGAAATGACAAGCTAGACCCAATGAGCCTGAAACCCCACTTTTAAACTCACGGGGCTGTAAGAATGTTCTGAGAATTTGGAAGTCAGAGGTTGTGGTGTGCCTCCTAGCTGTGGATAAAATTAGCATTCCTGATAAAAATCACCACTGCCTCCAAGGAAAGCCAACAACCTGTAGGAATTCCAGGCAAAGCCACAAGGAAGGCAGCTGGGGGGGGGGGGGGGCTGGACTGTCTACAAATCACACCCTAATGGCAGCCATTGGTGAGTCCTGAACGAAACACTTATGGCACTCCCTGTATTTGCAGACATCCCTGAACCTCGGCCACTTCAGTCCACACAGAACCGCTTGACAAGCCAGCCGGGATCAGCATTCTGATCCAGTCACAGCCTCCACTCCCAAGTGACTTGGTTGGAAGGACGCCAGCTTGGAGCTCTGGCATAGGTGGGCCCACCCTGGGCTCCAGCATGTGACCTCTTGAACACAATGTTCTATCCAGCAAGGGCTGTCACATGCTTCCCCTTACACAGATACAAGTGACAGGAAATAATAAAGACCCGTTCTGAAGGACCTTCTGCACACACGCGGGTCTCCACTGCAGTGACTCAAGCGCTCCCTCCCCGATCTCACTGCCATACTCCCTCCCGCCTTTCCTCCCAGGGAAAAACCCGACTCTCAAATCTCCAGTACTCATCTGATCTCACCTCCTCCGGCCCCAACTCGCGCCTCACGCGGCCACCTACTGTCGCCACGGCGGGGAGGACCCGGGCAGCGCACCTAGTGAGTGGCGGGCACCTGCTGGGCCCCCGCCCCGGCCACGCACCGACCCGAGTGCTGCGGACCGCAAATGTCGCCGTCCCTAGAGCCGCGAAACTGGGCAGTAGCGAGACAGGGCAGGGGCCGGCGCCGACTCGAGTGGGCTAGGTGGACTCGCACAGGTGGCCCCGGGGCGCGGGCTAGAGGTGATCAGAGAGGCTGCGCCCAAACAGCGCGCCGCGAACTGGGATGGCGGTCTCCAGTGTCGTACCTGTCGCCGGGGCATCAGCCTCCTCGTCAGCCTCCGACTCAGCGGCTGACCCGACTGCCGCGGCGGGCAGCTGGTCCATCGCGCGGCCAGTCATGTGAGCCCGCTCGCCCACGTGACTTCCTCCTGTGCCTGCAGGCCACGCCCATGACCACCTAGACCACGCCCATTCACCGACCATCACGCCCACATCCCGACTTTTCACCCCCTCCCAGCTCCCACACGCGTGTGGCCACACCCCTTGCCGACTCGCTCCCCCCACAGCACGCCCAGGCCCGGCCTTGTCACCCCCACACTCTATTTAGCTCCGCCTACTTCCCCCCTCCCGCCTCCAGGCCTGTCCCAGCCACGTGGCCTGGGCAGCCGGCGCTCACAGCCCAGGGTCTGCACCCCGCTCTCTGGAGCGCTGCGAGTCCCCGGCGGCAGCTCGCCCATTCCCACCGGCACTCGCTCGCCGCCCGTCCCCCTCGCCGGGTCCTGCTCTCGCTTACCCACCCTGCCCTGCCCTCAGCGCTCACTGGCCCACTCAATGCCTTCTGCGTTCATTCGTCCCGTCCCTCACTGTCGCTCACTGCCCTCTCCAGAGCAGTCAGGTCTGCTGGAGGCGGCCAGGCCCGGTGCCGGGTGTGAGGACTCACAGACTCTCTGGGACCGTTCCCGGCCTTCAGGCCTGACAGCTGGCTTCCGGGGACCGCATGTCCAAAGCATTCCCAAAGGGAAGCTGCACGCGAGGTCGGGCCAGGGCAGGAGCTTGAGCGGCCGCTGGCTGGATGAGGACTGAACAGGAGCAAGAGGAGGGTGTCAGACAACTGCAAATGCCCCGGTCTTCCCAGGATGAACAGTACAGGCAGAGAAAGCCTAGAAAGATAGGAGATTTTTGTTCTGTTTTGTTTTGTTTTTTGAGACAGGGTCTCGCTATGTAGTTTAGGCTGGCCTTGAACTCACTGTGTAGTCCAGGCTGACCTCGAACTCGCGATGATCCTCCTGCCTCAGCCTCCCAAGTGCAGGAATCACAGGCATGTGCTACCATGCCCGGCTCCCAAAGGGAGGATCTTGCACCTGCAACACAGGCTGAGCTGTGTCTGGGGAGGTGGTTAACTGAAAGCCCAAACCTGCCCAGGGTCCTAGGAAGGGTCTCAGCCTCACCGTTAGTTCTTGCTATAGCAGCTGGCCCTTATTTTACCTTATTATTATACGCTGGTATTATAATAACTCGCACTTGTTTTCCTTTACATTCTAGAATATCTGCTATGGAAAACAGGCTCAAATGTTTGAATAAAATTACTTTTCCAATCATAGTTTTCTTAAGGTAGTTATCACATTTTAGTTTGACAGCGAACTATATTTAGAGGCATACATATATTTTAAGTTTGACCTGTTGGTTTTTAGTGCTCTCCCCACACTTAGTAGACCTCCCTGTCCCATCTCCCCAGGACACCTACCATCCGTACAGGTAGGTAGCACTAATGATGCTCTTCCGAAGTAACTAAGAAAGTACTGACTGCCTTCTGCAGACAGACACGGAATAACTTTCCCAAGTCACAATGGCCACTGCAGGATCCTGTGACTCTCCACCCGCCTCTGATGGCCACTTCCTTCTGCTACCCTGGGCTTCCTTTTAGCTGTTGTTATCAAATTTTGTGCTCAGCACTTTCCCTGACTCCACACCCCGCCACACACATATAATCTGCTGACTTCCTGCTATTATTTGGTACATATTTCTGTCTCCCACTATATTACAAGATTGTTTTTGAAACCAGGCATGGTGGTGCAAGCTCATAAACCTAGCACTTGGGAGGCTGAAGCAGAAGCAGTTAGTTTGAGGCCAGCCTGGGCTACATAGTGAGTTCAAGGCCAGTCTGAACTATATAGCAAAACCCTGACTCAAAAGAACAACAACAAAAATTTTTTTTTAATTCACCGGATGTGGTGGTACATGCCTGTAATCCCAGAGCCTGGGAGGCTGAGGCAGGAAAATTGCTACTAGTTCAAGGTCAGCCTGGGCTACATAAAAAGAACCTATCTCAAAAAAAAAAAAGGGCCGGGGATTTAGCTCAGCGGTTTCGCCACCTGCTGCACAAGCGCAAGGACCCAAGTTTGATCCTGGGTACCAAAAAAAAAAAAAAACTTTATCACACTCTGAAGACTGTCGAATTTTTTTTTTTTTTTTTTGGTACCGGGTATTAAACTCGGGTCCTTGTGCTTGTGAGGCAGGCAGCAGCACCACTGAGCTAAATCCCCAGCCTGACTGTCAAATATTTTACAAATATACAATTATACATTTTTCTAATAGCTTATTAAATTAATTATTTAACCCCCTTACATATGTCAGATAGGCTCTAGTAAGTGGTTCTGGATCTTGGTTGCCTTTAGTGATCACCTGGGGAATATTCGGAAATCCCCTGCCTGGATCTAGCCCATTGGGTTCCACCCATCACATGCCATTGTCTGCATCCCCTTATACAGATACAAATGAAAGGAAAATATAACTAAAGACCCATTCTAAAGGGACATTTTCTCTACTCACAGGATCTTTCCATTCATTAAGTCTATCAACTGCAATAATGCAGGGCATGTGGCTGGTGGTAGAGCACTTATTTAGCATATGTGAGCTCCTGAGTTTGATCCTGAGCACTGGGGAAAACACAAAAACAAAAAAAACACGTGCTCATGCTTTCCCATCACTGGAGTTTCATGGATGGTCTGAACTGTGACCAGGACTTCAGTTTTGTTTTGTTTTGTTAAATCCCAGATGATTCAGCCAGGCAGGAGACCACTGCTCTAAGTTGAGCAGTTTGTTTTATTCCCACAAACATTCCCCAAGATTACTAGTGAAACATATTCTGAATAACTGGTAGGAGAGGAAGGTGAGGAAGGCAAACAGGGATGAGCAAACCAGGTCTCTGCCCCCCGCCCCAGAATCCCTTAATGGAGGTGGTAGAGGAGCAGAACACAGTAAGTTCTCACTCCACCCAGGGGAGGGGGCTGTGGAAGGAAAGAAGCAGCAGCAGTTGGCTCTCATGCTGGGTATGTGTGTGTGTGTGTGTGGCAGTGGTACAGGGGATTGGCCACTCAAAGCCTTTACACTGAGCTACATCCCCAGCCCTATTGTATTTTGAGACAAGATCTCACTGAGTCACTGAATTGTGCTCCTCCTGCCTCAGCCTCCCCAAGTGCTAGGATTACAGGTGTGGGCCATCTTTCCCACTGGATCTCTTTTTTTTTTTTGGTACCGGGGATCAAACTTGGGTCCTTGCGCTTGCAGGGCAGGTGACAGAACCACTGAGCTAAATCACCGGCCTCCCACTGGATCTCATTCTTAATGGCTCCAAGGAAGTCCTTCAAGGGGAAGGCTCTGCTGCCAGACAACTCTAACAACAGAAAGTTCTCGGGAAACGTGCCTTGAAATAGGTCTGCTGTCTGTAGAGCCTCACCAAAGAATAAACGGTTTCATTCAGGGAAGAGTTTTTTTAAAAATTTTTTGTTCAGTAGCAAGATCCCACTTATCTAATCCTTTGGTTCATGAGTGTGGTAATGGGGAGTTCATGCCACATGCATGAGATGTGCCTCACTCAAACCTAGTTGCGACATCCCATTGCCCATCTGATGTGGAAAAAAAGAAGAACCCACTTATATTATGACTGTTCCTGTGGCTTTTGAGTCACATTAATGCTTTCCGCTTAGGAAAATGGAACTGACAGGCAGGACTTGGAAAGCAGGCCACTGACATCAGGACTGGTATCCCCCAGAGGACGTGCAGGAGGGGCTGTTGTTGGGTATTATCCTCCTTGCAGGCAAGGATTTCAAGTCCTGCCAAGCACCTTTCGAAAAAAGTCTCAAAAAAATAAAAAATAAAAAAAGCAAGAGTCCCTAAGAGCCATTGAGGAATGTTGATTTCAATCTAAAATGTCCCCAGAAGTTTCCCCTGTTCCAAGGTCACCTTTCTGAAAGTGATTGGATCACAATGTCTCTGGTGTCATTGGATTAATCCACCCATGCCATAAATGGATGGCATTGTTGGGAACGATGAAAGCTCAGCAGGAGTTTAGATCCAGGACGGGATTAGGAGGGTGTGAATCTGGGCTGTATCTTGTCCCTGGCCCTCTCCTCTCTGGCTCTTCCCCAGTGCTCTGCTTCCTGGTGGCCAGCAGCTTTCTTCCTCCACCTTGCCCTTCCTCCATGATCCTCTGCCTTGCCAGACCCTGGAACTGTGGAGCTGCTGGCCATGGACTGAAACCTGTGAAACCAGGAGCCAAAAGAAACCCCTCCTCCTTTAAGCTGATTGCCTCAGGTGTTTTGGTCACAGCAATGAAAGGCCGACTAACACAGGAGCACATCCTAGGTCACAGGGATGGCGAACCTTTTAGAGCTTTCAGTGACACAAATAGCTGGCTGCAGCACACATGCCATAGGTTGGCCACCACCGTGACTTGGGACTATTAAGTACAGCTAGGGTGCTGGTCAGGTCAGGCTATCTCCTGCCACACACACCTCAGCAGCCTGAGACAGTGCAGCACAGGGATTCAGGCTCACCATGATCACTCAGACCCAGGATAATGAAGCAGCCACCGCCTCAGGTTTCTGACATTTTGACAAAAGAAAGGCTTGGGGTAAGGGGCCCTATGTGAACAACACTGGCCCAGAAGTGATGGATAAAACATCCACCCACAACCCTTGGGCCACACTAGTGACACCACCATACCCACCCTGAAGAGGACCAGAAAAGCCATCCTGCCCCGCTCCTGGAAGACAGAAAGCCAAGAATGTGTCATGAACACCACCAGCTACTGACCACATTAGCCACACTCACAGTTTAGTAACTCACAGTTACTAAATGCTGCCGTGGCCAGAGTGCTCTTCTGAGTGCTTTGCCTTTAGAAACTCATCTAAGCCCAATAAATGGATAAAGCAGTAGAATAATTGTCACTATTTTACAGACTAATGAGGCCAAAGAATTTCAACCGCCTAAATCACAGGGCGGAATTCAAGCCCAGCCTCCTGGGTGCTGGAGCCTGTCCTCAGTCCCCGCCCTCCCTTTAGGAGGCTTCAGGTGAATGCTGTTTGTAGCTCTGTAAGGCAGAGCAGGTGGAGGACTCTAAAAGCCAAGGATTCATAAGATGAGT